GGTTTTATGTGGTTATATGCTTTCAGTTCTCTTGGGTATATGCAATAGGAATGGAAACAGTGGCTCATATTTCTTCACGTCTTCATCACCACCTGTCATTGTCTGTTTGATTATAGCCGTCCTACTAGATGTAGGTGGTGTGTCATTTTGATTTTTATTGGCATTTCCCTGATGACATATGATATTGAGCATCTTTAAATTTCTTTTTCAGTATTGTTGTGGCTATTCAGGGCCTACTGCAGTTTCATATGAATATAAGGATCAGCTTTTCATTTCTGCTAAAAGAGGCCACTGCAATTTTGATAGAGATTTCATTGACTCTGTAGATAACTTTGGGAGTATTGCCGTCTTAAAAATACTGTTTTTTCATTCATGAATATGGGATGTCTTTCTGTATATTTAGGTCTGCTTTCTTTCAACAGTGTTTTGTAGTTTTTAGGTTACAAGTTGCATTTTTTTGTTGTTGTTCAATACCTTCCCAAGTACTTTATTCTTTTTGATGCTATTGTAAATGAAATTGATTTCTTAATTTTATTTCCAGAATGTTTATTGCTAATGTATAGAAATACAATTGATTTTTGAATGTCGATTTTGTGTCCTGCAAGTGTGCGGAATGTGTTTATTAGTTCTAATACTGTTTTTGTTCATTTCTTAGGATTTTCTGTAAGATTATGTCACTTGCAAATGGGTATCATTTTACTTCTTATCCAATCGGTATTCCATTTATTTCATTTTCTTTCCTCTTATTCTGACTAGAGCCTCCAGTACAATATTAAATAGAAGTGGCAAGAGTGGACATCCTGTATCGTTCCTAGCCTTAGTGAGAATGTATCTTGTTTTTCACCATGAAGTTTTTTTACCATAATAAACTTGAGTATGTATTTTTCTGTTTGTTTTCTTTTGAGCGTAAAAGGGTATTGAATTTTGGCATATGCATTTTCTGTGTGTTTTGAGATGATCATTTGTTTTTTGTTTTTTGTTTTTCCTTGAGACGGAGTCTTCCTCTGTCGCCCAGGCTGGAGTGTAGTCTAGTGTTATCTTGGCTCACTGCCAGCCTCTGCCTTTCAGGTTCAAGGGATTCGCCTGCCTCAGCTTCCCGAGTAGCTGGGATTACAGATGCCTGGCTAATTTTTGTATTTTTAGTAGAGGCAGGAGGGTTTCACCATGTTGGCCAGGCTGGTCTCAAAACTCCTGACTTCAGATGATCCGCCTGCTTCAGCCTCGCAAAGTTCAGGGATTATAAGCGTGAGCCACTGTATGCAGCTGGTTTTTGTTCTTTGTTCTGTTAATGTGGTTTATTACATTAATTGGAGTTTATATGCTGAATCGACCTTGATTTTTTTGGATATATCCCAAATGTGCGTGGTATATAATTTGTTTTTTAATGTTCTAGGTTAGGTTTGCTGGTGTTTTATCACGGATTTTTGCATTGATATTGATCTTAGTTTTCTTACCATGTGATGGCTTTGTCTGGTTGTGGTATTGGAGTAATACTAGCTTCACAATGAATTGGGAAGTGTTCCTTCTAATTTTTTTTTTTAACAGTTTTTGTAAATTCTGTAAATGTTTGAAGCCGACTGGTCTAGGGCTTCTGTTTGTGAGAAATTTTTCATTTCTAATTCAGTCTACTTACTTTTTATAGGTCTGTTCAGATTCTTAATTTTTTCTTGAGTCACTGTTGGTAGTTTGTTTCTTTTCAGGAATTTGTCTGTGTCATCTAAGTCATCTAATTTGTTGATGTGCAGTTGTTCATAGTATTCCCTTATCCTTTTTATTTCTGAAAGGTTGGTGTAATGCTCCCTTTTTAATTCTTGAATTTAGTTATTTGTGTTTTCCCTCTTTTTTTCTTTTTTTTGGTTAGTCTAGCAAAAAGTTTGTTAGTTTTGATCTTTTCGAAGGGCCAATTTTTGTTTTATTGATTTTTTTAAAAATTTCAGTAGTATTTTTATTTTCTACTCCCTATTCCTTTAGCTTGTTTTATATTTAAATTGTTCATCATCATCTATTATTTTAAGGTCAAAGGTTAGGTTATTGATTTGACATCTTTCTTGTCAATATAAATATTTATAGTTATAAATTTTATTTTTAGCTGCATCTAATAAGTTTTGGCTTGTTGTGTTTTCATTTTTGTTTATCTCAAAAGTATTTTCTAATTTCTCTTATGCCTTCTATAGACCACTGATTATTTTTGAGTATGTTTTTAAATTTTCACGTATTTGTGAATTTTCCAGATTTCCTTATGTTGCCAATTTCTAATTTCATTGCATTGTTGTTTTGAGATTTGTTTTATTACTTAATATTTGGCCTATCTTGGAAAATGTTCTATATGTGTTTGAGAACAATGTGTATTCTGCTGTTTTGAGGTTGATTGTTCTGTAGGTGTCTGTTAAGCCTAGTAGTTTTATAGTGTTGTATAAGTCTTGTATTTTCTCATTGATTTTCTCTCTACTTGTTTTATCCATTATTGAATGCAGGGCATTGAAATCTCCAACTTTTGTTTTTGAATTGTGTATTTCTTCCTTGAATTTTATACTTTTTTGCTTTGTGTATTTTGTGACTCTGTTGTTAGGTGCATATAGGTTTATAACTGCCATATCTTATTGATGCGTTGGCTATTTTTCAGTATAAAATGCCCTTTGTCACAACAATTTTTTTTTTTTTGTCACAACAATTTTTGTGTCATCATCTGTTTTGCCTGATAGTCGTATAGCCACAGCAGGCCTATGTTGACTACTGTTTGCATAGCATATCTTTTTCTATCTTGTTTTGTCTTTGAATTTAAAGTGTGCACCAGACATTGTGGTTCATAGTCCCAGGACTTAGGAAGGCCAAACTGGGAGGATCACCTTCGCCCAGGAGTTTGAGACCAGCATGGGTAACATAGGACTCTGTACAAAATCCTTTTAAAAAATCAGCCAGGTGTGATAGTGTGCACCTGTAGTCCAGTCTACTCGGGAATGCTGAGGTGGGAGGATTGCATGAGCCTGGCAGATCAAGGCTGCAGTGAGCTGTGATCATGCCAGTGCCCCTCTGCCTGGGAAAGAGAGCAAGACCCTGTCTTAAAAAATAAATAGGAGCATGTTTGTTGTAGGCAACATATTCAGGGTTAATATTCCTTATCCAAAATGTTTGGGACCAGGAGTTTTTTGGATTTTTTTCATATTTTGTAATATCTGCATATGCATAGTGAGGTTTCTTGGGAATGGAACTCAAGTCTAAACATGAAATTCTTTTATGTTTAAAATAATTTACCTTACTCATATAGCTAAACGTAATTTTATACAATTTTTTAATTGTTTTCGAGGCGGGGTCTTGCCCTGTTGTACAGGCTAGAGTGCAGTGGTACAGTAATAGCTCACCACAGCCCTGACCTCCCTGGCTCAAGCAATCCTCCCGCTTTAGCCTTCCAAGTAGCTGGGACTACAGGCATGCACTACCACACCTGGCAATTAAAAAAAAAAATTTTTTTTTTGGGGGGGTAGGAATGGGAGTCTCCTGTATTGCCCAGGTTGGTCTCAAACTCCTGGGCTCACATGATCCTCCTGCCTTGGTCCCCCAAATTGCTAATATTATAAGTGTGTGCCACTGCACTAACCAATGATATTTTAAATAATTTTGTATCTGAAACAAATTTTCTATTTTATTACCCTTGCAGGCCTCTTGCATGGGGGGAATCTGGGCATGCATGGAAAAGGCATATTGCAGTGGAAGGGGCTGGGATGGTTTTTTTCCTCCTGGGGGATGCTGAATAAACTGTGAGTTGTGCATCTGCCTTTTAACTGTGACATATCATATGAGGTCAGGTTTGTGGAATTTTTCATTTCTAGTATCATGTTGGTACTCATATTTTTCATCTTTTTTTTTTTTTTTTTTTTTAAACAAAGTCTTGCTGTGTCACCCAGGCTGGAGTACAGTGGCATGATCACAGGTCACTGCAACCTCAACCTCCCAGACCCAAGTGATTCTCCTATCTCAGTCTCCCAAGTAGATGGGACTACAGGCATGCACTACTGCACCCAGCTAATTTTTGTATTTTTTGTATAGATGGGGTTTCTCTGTGTTTGCCAGGCTGGTCTTGAACTCCTGGGCTCAAGCAATCTGCCTGCCTTGGCCTCCCAAAGTGCTGGGATTATGGTGGGAGCCACCATGCCTGGACATACACACCTTTCTTTCATGTAACTCTATTTTTTTCCTTTCCTGTGTGCTGTTAATATTATATTAATTATATCATTATATATTGTATACCTAGCAACACAGTTATAATTATTGCTTTATGCATTTTTTTTTTTTTTTTTGAGACGGAGTTTTACCCAGGCTGGAGTGCAATGGCGCGATCTCGGCTCACCGCAACCTCCGCCTCCTGGGTTCAGGCAATTCTCCTGCCTCAGCCTCCTGAGTAGCTGGGATTACAGGCACGTGCCACCATGCCCAGCTAATTTTTTGTAGTTTTAGTAGAGACGGGGTTTCACCATGTTGACCAGGATGGTCTGGATCTCTTGACCTCGTGATCCACCCGCCTCGGCCTCCCAAAGTGCTGGGATTACAGGCTTGAGCCACCGCGCCCGGCCTATGCATTTTTTTTTAAACCAATGTATTAGTTTCCTATTGCTGCTTATATAGAAAAAGACTTAACATAGCGGGCCTGATTGCTTATTTTTAGAAGGCCTGCTTAGGAGGTCAGCCTTTGGTTTACACCTGAGAACTTGGATTTCAGGAGGGTTCCATCCTTCCTAAATGATAACTGATAATGATTTGTACAAACACTATGGTTTATGCAGAATACCTGCTTTTCTTCTCGGAATCTGGAATTTTGGTATGTGTTAGGCAAGGGTGTCTACATGATCAACCTCCAATATAAAACACCTCCCCCAGCAAAATATGTAGAATATTCATATTATATATTTCTCATTAGTATTATTTATACTGATTTTTTTTCTTTTCATGGCTCATTTTCTGTTTTTTTTTTATTATTAATATGTTCATTGGTTTTATCTTCTAAGGTAATAAAGAATGCTGATGGGAGAACCATTTTCCTAATTTTCAAATTGTTGAGCTGTTTGCCATGATGGGTGAGTTCAAACTAAAAGCATTTTTCAGCTACAATTGAAGAATAGAACGGAAGTGAAAAACTTTCTCTATTATGTGTTACTGTAAACCTTTTTATAAAAAAATTTTATGAAATAGCACATTTATGAAATGTTTTGTGTTTACTTAATAGACTTTTAATTAAAGCACTTTTTATGTTGCTATAGTTTTAGAATGATCATTTTATGCATAACACAGTAGGGACATTCCAAATAAGCTGTTAAGATATGTTATGATTTCCTTAAAGTCTGATGGCAAGAGAGAAACGATGAAATTTTATTTTATGATAATTAGAGCAGCAAATCACTGGTGCTCAGGGAGGATATGTTTTACAACTCTTGGTCATATATTGTGGTATAATGTTAAAAAGACTAAAGTTTGGGAATGGGTTGTATATGCTCAGTTTACATATCATGTTGTTTTCCTCTTTGCCTTCTTTTTGTTTTTCCTTTTCTTCCTTGTGTTAAGCTTTCCATCATGAGGCAGGAACTAGACAGGAAGACACTAGAAGGAAATGGAGTCATGAATGACCTATCCTATCCTAAATCAAGAAAAATGGGACTGAGTAGTTGGATGTTAAATTTTGAAACTTAGACTAACCCTGGCATTTAACTCTGACACTTACTTGCCAGAGTTTGCCTTTATCACACATTTTCTACTTCTTGCTTAACAAATACACACACACACACACACACACACACACACACACACACCCCTCATGAAGAACTTATATTTGCCCATGTGATGAAAGGAGGGGCTAGGACACTTTCACTGTGTGTCATTGTAGCAAGTATGTCAGCTCAGACTTCATCTTCTTGAAAAATTTCTCTTCCTCTTCCTTTTCTGTAGTCATGAGTAGCAGTGCCCTCTTGTAGCCCAAATCCTCCACTGTAGTCAGCCTTACTTTCAGCTCCAAATTGTATGTACTTTTACTGAACTCCTTTCAATTTTTCGTTTTGGCTGCTGTTACTTGTACTCTATGTATTGATCAAATTTATTTCTATCAGCCTCAATTAATACTGCTCTGTAGTAGGCAACAATCATTGCTTAAAAACATATACAAAGTAGTCACAGAACACCATGACAGGTGTTTGAAGTTTTAATTAAGGATGTTCTTCTTAATTCTTTTTCAAGTATCATGAATAAGCATATAAGATATTTTATTCAAAATTTCTGATAAAAGATTTTTGAAAACATTATTTTCCAAATAGTTTTTGGTTTTGTGCTCAGTTGAATGTCCTTCCAACATGTGTCGGAAACCCACTGCTTTTTCTGTGTACCCATTGGGCAGAGTCTAGGATCCTTTGGGCATCCTCAGTGCCTACTAGGTCATTTTGTGATCTTCATGAGATTTATAACCTGTCTAATCTGCCTGGTATCCTGTGGCCACCATTGAGCTCCGTAATAGAATGAAATAGTCTAAGAGGTGTTAGAACAGTGCTTATTATAGTTTTTGAATATGCTCATCATGTGCTTGGTCTTTTGGGATTTATTAGCTTACAATTGTCAGCCTCTTCAAAGTTTCTTACTGGATACTTATTTAAATTATTTATTTAAATAAGTTGTGTATTTATTTTACTTATTTAAATAAATTATCTTTTAATTTATATAAAATATATAAATTACTTAAGTAATTTAAATACATAATTAAATTTATCTAAATTTTATATAAATTATATTAAATATGTATATATTATATATGGAAGTATATTTTATATAAATTATATAAAATACATTTTAAAATGAATAAAATAATAATTAATTATTTGAATAAGTACCCAGTAGTAATTCTTCAAATTAAATTGCCCTTTGTTTTGTATGTTACCTTCCTAATATGGGAACTTCTATTCAACAGGTCCTGCTCTTCTTTTACATATGTGACAGAGAACCATACTTATTTGTTTTTCTGTTCTCATTTTTCTTAATAAAGAAATAAGTATATAGCCGGGCGCGGTGGCTCACGCCTGTAATCCCAGCACTTTGGGAGGCTGAGGCGGGTGGATCACGAGGTCAAGAGATCGAGACCATCCTGGTCAACATGGTGAAACCCCGTCTCTACTAAAAATACAAAAAATTGGCTGGGCATGGTGGCGCGTGCCTGTAGTCCCGGCTGAGGCAGGAGAATTGCCTGAACCTGGGAGGCGGAGGTTGCGGTGAGCCAAGATCGTCCCATTGCACTCCAGCCTGGGTAACAACAGCAAAACTCCGTCTCAAAAAAAAAAAAAAAAAAAGAAATAAGTATATATAAATATTGGCCGGGCATGGTGGGTCACATATGAAATCGCAGCACTTTGGAAGGCCCAGGCGGGCAGATCACTTAAGGTCAGGAGTTTGAGACCAACCCGGCTGACATGGCGAAACACCACCTCTACTGAAAATATAAAAATTATCTGGGCTTGGTGGCATATGTCTGTAATCTTAGCTGCTTGGGAGGCTGAGACAGGAGAACTGCTTGAACCCTGGAGGCGGAGGTTGTAGTGAGCAAAGATCACATCATTGTACTCCAGCCTGGGCAACAAGACTCTGTCTCAACAACGACAACAAAAATAAGAGTATATATAAATGCGATAATCTATTTTAGCCAAAGGCCCTCCCCAAGGCATTTATTTTGGCATTGTAATATTAACCACATAAAATTGTTTAAATTCAGATGTTTAGGTTTTCTCTAATAAATTCTTGGAACAACGTAGATATTTTTAAAAATTAGAGTTCCGACTTTGTGAGGCCAAGGTGGGAGGATCGCTTGAGCCCAGGAGTTCAGGACCAGCCTGAGCAACGTCATAGTGAGACTCCATCTCTACAGAAAAATAAAAAAGAATTAGAGTTCTATCCCTAGTATAGAATTAAGGATTTACCTTATTTATTTTTATTTTTATTTTATTTTATTTTACTTTTTGAGACGGAGTCTTTCTTTGTCACCCAGACTGCAGTGCAGTGGTGCAATCTCAGTTCACTGTGACCCCTGCCTCCTGGGTTCAAGCGATTCTCTTGCCTCATTCTCCTGAGTAGCTGGGACTACAGGCACTCACCACCATGCCCGGCTAATTTTTATATTTTTAGTAGAGACAGTGTTTCACCATATTGGCCAGGCTGGTCTCAAATTCCTGACCTTGTGATCCACTGGCCTTGGCCTCCCAAAGTGCTGGGATTACAGGCATGAGCCACCACGCCTGGCTAAGGATTTACCTTTTTAAAGAAGTTCACATCAAATGTTTTTATTCTAGTTGAGATCCTTCTGAGTTTATTGATGGTACATCTATTGTGATTATACTGTACCTGATTGGCTTGGTTTCCTATTTGGTAAGCTACCATTATGAAATAACTTGATTTTGTAAAAAGTACTTAGTGAAGGATTATAAAATTTTCTTTTAACCTGGAAATATTAATTAATAAAATCAATAATAAAACCATTGTAACAATTACTTTTAAATTGTAATATGCAAATAACTTCACTACAAAATAGAATATATTAAATGTTATTAAAAATTAGTGAATTAGAAAAGGCAGCTATTTGTGTGAGAGACTGTTAGGGCTATTGAATTGTCAGAATATTTTTAGTGATTTCCCTTATAGGATAGGGCATATTTTAATTTTTATTATTCCAAGAACGTAAGTTAATGCTCACCAAAATGGTTACATTTTAAAGTGTAAACTATAAAGTCTCATGAATCCTTTATTACTGTTTGTGATTATCATTAGTAGTTTTGATTTACTAGTGAAAATAAGTAAATTGTCCCTGAAGTCTTCTAGAGAGCTTATAGTTGGCATTACTGGAAGGCACACGCTTTGAGTCTCAGAAGGAAATCTTTGTATATTTGGAAGAGTCTAAAAGTTCAAGTTCATGATCCTTTCTCTCAGTTTTATAGACTTGGTACTTTTTCTAAAGAATGGAATTTTCTTATGTTGTTACTGGCCAAGATCTATAAATAGTCTGTTTTTAGTCTTGTCAAACCTTATGGTGAAGAAGTTTGAGAGCATTTTCAAATACGGTAGGCCAGTATCCACAGGTGAAGCTTTTCTTTGGTTCTGACTCTTAAGTGTTGATGAAAGAAAAAAAAACCTTCAAAAATGAAGTCTGTATTTTGAATATAAAAGCTAAATAATCATATTTATGTGGAGTTGTTTATTTTTTCCCTAGTTGCTTTTTTAAAGATTTTAGATGTCTTGATGTTTTGTTTGCAAGTCATAGAAAAGAATTTGTTATAACAGGGCAGTTTTGACTTTATTCTAGGAATTTAAATCATTGGAAGAATCAGAATGACTTCATCTTGTCTGTAAGTGTCTCATGTGTAGACTAATGCTAGAGCTTGAGTCTAGTGCAATTTTATTTTACCAAAATTGTAGGCATTAAAAATACTCTAGATGCATTTTGGCATTAAATTAATATATTCTGTACATTAAATTTTATTATAAATTTTTTTTGATGTCTATACATGTTGATATATATGTCACAATTATAACTCTATATATGTGTTATTTCCAAATTATCTAGATGATCAGCAAGCTTTGAACTCAATCATGCAAGATTTGGCTGTCCTTCATAAGGCCAGTCGACCAGCATTATCCTTGCAGGAAACCAGAAAAGCAAAATCTTCATCACCAAAAAAACAGGTATTTATTTTAATAAGTGTATTTTGTATTTCTATGAATTAGTTTCTTTTAATATCCTAATGTTATGGAGGACTTGTTTAATATGTTTAGCTTTTATACTTTCAAGCCAAGTATTTTGTTTGTGTTTGTTATACATTTTCCCGTAAGAGTGTGTGTTCATCTATTAACAATAGCATGGTAGACTGGACAAAGAGAATGTGGTACATATACACCATGGAATTTTATGTGGCCATAAAAAAGAACAAGATCATGTTCTTTCAGGAACATGGATGGAACTGGAGGCCATTATCCTTAGCAAACTAATGCAGGAACAGAAAACCAGATACCCAATGTTCTCACTTATAAGTGTAAGGTAACTAATGAGAACACGTGGAGACATCGAGGGGAACAACACACACTGGGGCCTACTGGAGGGTGGGGGGTGGGAGTAGGTAGAGTCAGGAAAAATAACTAATGTGTACTAGGCTTAATACCTCGGTGGTTAAATAATCTGTATAAACAACCCCCATGACATGAGTTTACCTGTGTAAGAAGCTTGCACATGTACCCCTGAACTGAAAATAAAAAAAGAAAAATTTTTAAAGTATGTGTTTATAAAGAATGGTAGCATTCTGCAGCCAAGGTTGACCCCTTCCCAGAAAAAATAATGTAGCATTATATTTAATGTGGTAACTGTTCTCCAAAGCTGACATTTTATCCATTTTTCAAGCCATTAAGCAAATTGGTTTTTTTTGTTGTTGTTGTTGTTCTTCAAATAATCTATTCTGGATGTTTAGAAATGAGGATGATTTTATTCTGGTAAATGAAATTAGTTTGGGATACTCAGCATGACACATAAAAATATAATCTGTATTTGCCATAACAGGATCAGCAAATATCTCATACTCCTGGTACCTTCTGTAATAGATCTTGGTTTTTTTCCTGTTGCACCCAGATTCAGCAACATAATTCTCAACTTTTTAGCAGACACTATCAATTGATTATGCTGGTACAGAAATTGAAACTTCCCTCCCTGCCTGCTCTATTTTAAATGAATGGCTTTTTAAAAAATGATTTACAAATTATAGAAATTTTATCTAATCTCTGAATGATTTGTCTAACTCTGAAAGACTGATTTGTCATTTCATTACAGAATGATGTCCGAGTCAAATTTGAACATAGAGGAGAAAAAAGGTAAGGAAGGAAACGTTACCTGTTTGTTAATTGATTTAATCAAATGTGTATGGTAATTAAGCTTTTGAAAGGTTCTTTTCAGATTTGAATGAAGTTTCATGGCTTACAAATTGAGAATAGAGTAGTCCTTGGGAATGTGGGTAATGTCCTTACACTTAAGATAGATAAAATATGTCAAAATTCAGGCTAAACATTAGAAATGATTAATGTCTTTAAAGGTCACTGCTTAATACAGCTTTTAAATATTGTCATTTCCACCCAGGGAAAATTAAATATATTTTTTCTTACAATGGTTTCATCCCTCCAGATACTATATAGCATTTATATATATGAGCTTAAGATTCAAAATTCTGATCTTTCTCGAGACACCTCAGTGCTGTGACATGTATGTCATTAGTAATGTTGAGGAAAGTGAATTGGACTGGTGCTGTAAATTATTTAGCAGCGATGTAAACCTAGCCTTCTACTTGGTGTCTGTATCTCTGTGCACAAATGATAGGGTCGTAGTTGACAACAAAATTGCTCACAGGATCTAATAGGAGTTAAGAAAAACAGAATTTCATTTCTGCTATTAGTGCCTCATGAAATGAATGCAGTGAAAAGCCTAACAGTTTTAAGGATTTTAAAGTGGCTCACAAACATATTTTACATAGAAATGTTTAAAACTGGAATATACCAAATAAACCATGGAACTGTCCAATCTGCTTTCCTAAAATGATTTAAGATTCTTTTATGAATATTTTCTAAATTTTTTCATTCATTCAGCATTATTTGTTGAGTACTTAGTATATGCTAGGCCCTGAAGGAATAAAGGGAGCAAAGCAGACATGTCTCTTTCCTTGTGGGACTTACAGGGTGATATTGATGGTCTTCAAGGTTTAGGTGCATGCTCTCTAGGGGCAGCACAGGCCAGTCCTTTGGGAAATAGAAAGAAAACATTGGAATTTTAATGTTTAAAAAATACTAGGCCGGGTGTGGTGGCTCATGCCTGTAATCCCAGCACTTTGGGAGGCCAAGGTGGGCAGATCACCTGGAGATTAGGAGTTTGAGTCCAACCTGGCCAACATGGTGAAACCCTGTCTCTATTATAAATACAAAAAAAAAATTAGCAGGGCATGGTGGTGTGTGCCTGTAATCCCAGCTGCTAGGGAGGCTAAGGCAGGAGAATCACTTGAACCCAGGAGGTGGAGGTTGCAGTGAGCTGGGATTGTGCCACTGCACTCCAGCCTGGGCAGCAGAGCAAGACTCTGTATAAAAAAATAATAATAATTTAATATATATATATGAAGTATGCCTACATGATGCATGCACCCAAAAATGTTGAGTTGATAAGGATACAGAAATCAAAATTTGAATCCCTGGAGAACAACTTTCTTCTTTAACAGTTTCATTGCATTCTGTCATACAGATGTTATATAGTTAAGTTTAATCACTTTCCTCAATGGACATTTTGCATTGCTCTTTAACATTCATATGGTAGTTTCAGTGGAAATTAAAAACTGTAGAAAATTTTGAGAATTTCCTTTTTAAAATTTGTATTAGGATAAAACAAACTTCATAGTTTTTTTTAACTTTGTGTTGAAAATTTGTGCCTGTGATAAAAAATCATCTGTCATAATATTTAAGTAAAGTGAATATTTACATAGATTTTAGTTAATTTTGTATCTTTCTAAAAGGAGGTAACTGTTGCAGGTTTATTGTTTAACTTTGCCTACGAAAATAAAATCTTAAAATTGTGTTTGTGTAGGATCCTTCAGTTCCCCAGACCAGTTAAACTGGAAGATCTGAGATCTAAAGCTAAAATTGCCTTTGGACAGCCTATGGATCTACATTATACCAATAACGAGGTAAACATGTACTGTTTTACTCTAGTAGGTCTTATCTTGAAAAGTAATGTGTTCGTTTAAGAGACTACTTTTAAGACTTGTGTTTTTATTTAGGGATTGATAAGTATGGTATGTCAGAAGAAGAAAACATCATAAGTAAATTTTAACTGACTAAAATGGATTTATTTCATTATGGAAAATAATAGAGGTGCTACTATGCAAATAATTGAGGGTTTATTATGGGGGAAATATATGTATTACTTGGAATTTTGTTGCTTGTTTATGTTTTGTTTATATTTTGTGTACTTTATTGATGAACTGTCTTTTCCTCTCATACTCTACTCTTGGCTACAGATGACAGAGCTTTGGTAGTTAAACAGTTGAGTTAAAACTTAAAGGATTATTTTAGTGTTGGTTAGGGATCAATTAGATTATTATGTTTGAGAATCAGTGCATATGATCTTAAAGGCTTGCTCTAGCAGTGAGGAGCTCTGTGTTGTGGAGAAACCCTTTTTAATGTTCTGTAAACTTAGGATTGGATTCAATGATCTCTGAAGTTTCTTTAGTTCTTGATATTCTGTGAGATATCAGGATCTTGTGATCTTAAAATTTATAGGGCAATATAGTTAATAATTAGTAATTAGGTGAATTTGTTTTTTATATTCAGAAAATATGTGTTAATTTTTTAGGCATAATGCTATAATTTATAAGTTAACAGCATCTCATGGAGTAGACCTTACAGACTTGTGGTACAAGCAAACCATTAATAAATGAGTTGTTTCAATATACAAAGTTCTTTGAAAGAAATGTATAAAGTATTGTGATGAAGAATAAAGGGCAGACTCATGCCTATAATTGTAGCACTTGGGGAGGTCAGAGCAGGAGGATCACCTGAGGCCAGGAGTTCAAGACTAGCCTGGGCAAAATAGCAAGGCGCCATCTCTGCAAAAAAGTAAAATTATCTGAGTGTGATGGCATACACCTGTAGTCCCAGCTACTCGGGAGGCTGAGGCAGGGGGATCTGAGGTAGGAGGATAGCTTGAGCCCAGGAATTTGAGGGTATAGTGAGCTATGATTGCACCACTGCACTCCAGCATGTGTGACAAGAGTTGTCTGAACAAAAGAGAATAAATTTTTTAAACATGTCTTGAACTTGAATCATTATCCCATAGGATGATTCTAGGGGAACCTTGGTATATCTTGTTTTCTTTATTCTAAAATTGTATTATTGAAAACTTTCAAAACTTTGAAATGCTAAGATACATTAACACTGTAATATTGTCTTTATCTGCTAGGCTAGTAGGTCTATCAAGAAAAAGGTTAGTGTGACATAATTTGTTCGTGTTATACCTATGCCAGCTCCTAAAAATTGCTGGGTTTTTTTGTTTGTTTGTTTGTTGTTTTTTAATGATTTCTCCCAGTTTGCTATGTAACTTTTTTTCTGGGGTTTACTCGAGGATTGACATCAAGCTAACTGATTTTTATTTATTTTTTTTTTTGAGATGAGGTTTCACTCTGTTACCCAAGTTGGAATGCAGTGGCCCGATCTCACCTCACTGCAACCTTCACCTCCCAGGGCTCACACGATCCTCCCACCTCAGCCTCCTGAGTAGCTGGGACTACAGGAGGGTGCCACTGTGCCTGGGTAATTTTTGTATTTTTGGTAGAGACGGGGTTTCATCATGTTGCCCAGGCTGGTCTCAAACTCCTGAGCTCAGGTGATCCACCTGCCTCGGCCTCCCAAAGTGCTGGGATTACAGATGTGAGCCCCCATGCCTGGCCTGATCTGTATTTTTAAGAACCCTTTCCCATTTTCTAAAAATTGGAAAATTGCTCTATTTTTAGTTTATTTTAGTTTGGTTTTCTCATGCTTACTGAAGGACTTCTGTGAGTGGTTCTGCCATTATATTTGGTGGCCTCCGGCAGGAATGTGATAGAGGTGGCATTAGGATAAGATTACATTTAAGATTTCTTGTAACCCTGAGATTCTGTGCGTGAACCATGTCCTGATTCATATCTTGACATATTGTCCCAAACCAAATGGATGATCTTCAACATTGGGGGTACTAAGGAAAATCTTAGTTTTATGGACATGTGGATAAGCAAAAAAATAATTTTTACTGCATGCTATTCCACTTCTATAAATATTTTTTTCGAGTGTAATATTAACTTCTCTGTTCAAAGTGAACTATTACTCTGTAAGCTTCTAGTTGGCAGAATTGAAATGTTGTGCAAATTTAAGCTGGAAATAAAAGCTGGGATTGTTAGAATTTGTTAGTTTGGCCTCTCTAATTAAAGGTGTGTAGGGTGTGTTTGTGTGTGTGTGTGTGTGTGTGTGTGTGTGTGTGTGTGTGTGTGTGTATGTGTGTATGTGTGGTCATGGGGGGGTGTGTTGTCATGGGGGTTGGGTGTAGGGGTGTTCAGGCCAAGTTAGGATTTTCTAAGATCATTTCCATTTTAGATACATTTTAGATGAGTAGAGCAGGAATTTTTTTCCTTTGTTTTGTTTTGTTTTGTTTGTTTTTGTTTTTGTTTTTTTTTTTTGAGACAGCATCTTGTCCTGTCGCCTAGGCTGGAGTGCAGTGGCACAATCATGGCTCACTGCAGCCTCAACCTCTCCAGCTCAATCAGTTTTCCCCCTTCAGCCTCCTAAGTAGCTGGGACTACAGACATGCACTACCATACCTTGTTAATTTTTGCATTTTTTGTAGAGATGCAGTTTCACCATGTTGCCCAGGCTGGTCTTGAACTCCTGGGCTTAAGCAGTCGGCATACCTCAGCCTCCCAAAGTGCTGAGATTACAGGCATGAGCCACTGCGTCCGGCCTGGAGAAGCTTTTAATGGCTCTTTTCATACTTCACTATGTAAAGTCAGGAAGATAATTCAATTCTTTAAGATTTCAGTTAATATGTTCTTGAACTCAATTTTAAGTTTCCTTTCTAGAAAGGATTTATATCAACAAACAACTGATTTATCAAAAAGAAGCCAGAGGGAGATCGATTTCATGAATGAGAAGGAAGTGAATTCACCAAGCAAGGAAACATTCTCTGATTTCTTTAGTATAATGTAAATAACTTGGGACTTGTTCCTGACTCTTAGTCCTCATTTTAGTTTGTAATAGGTGACCTTAGATCATAGGCGGGAACATATTAGGTCTGTAGGCAATGTCTAAGCTGCTGCACCAGGCACTCCTCCAGGATATTACATTTTAGAGCAGCAAACTGAAGAAGAGCAGAATCATTTGTTCCTTTTTTTTTTTTTTTCCTGTCATTTGACTTAGTGGCTTTTCCCCCCAAAAAGCAGCAGTATCTTGGAGAAGTAAGCAATCCAGTTATAAATGTATGGTAAAAGTAAGTGTTCAGATGGAAAATTGGTAGAACAGTCTTTATCATTGCTTTAAAATTCTCCTGCTTAAAAAGTAATAGACTATTGAAGATAGAAGCAAGATATACCAATATGTTTCATAATTGGTGGGAAATAGAAATGTATTTAAGTAGATAGGTAAATCAGGCTTGTTCTTTGATACCAAACAGTTAATAATTGTATTTTATTAGAAAAAAATTCTCATAGAGCAAATAGAGCCCAGTTAGTAACTTAGAGTAATACAAAATTACCTACAAACAATATGTTCTAAGTGCAGAGTAAGTAAGTGCAAGTAGATTGTCTGATGGAATACACATGAATCCTTTGTATTCATGTCTGGCAGCCTTTCTTAAAGCAAGGACTTTTTTGGCCAGGCACAGTGGCTCACGCCTATAATCCCAGCACTTTGGGAGGCCCAAACAAGCAGATCATTTGAGGTCAGGAATTTGAAACCAGTCTGGTCAACATGGTGAAACCACGTCCTTCGCTAAAATAGAAAAATTAGCCGCTTGTGGTGGTGCGTGCCTGCAATCCCAGCTACTGGGGAGGCTGAGGCAGGAAAATCACTTAAACCCAGAAGGCAGTTTGCAGTGTGCTGAGTGAGATTGCCACTGTCCACCCTGGGTGACAGTGAGACTCCATCTCAAAACAAAAAAACCAGAACCCCAGGGACTTTTTTCATAAAGAAGTCTGCAGAATGAACACACACCATGCCAGCTTTTGGGTTTGGGTTCAGATTAAGCTTTTACCACTGTGATATTTATTAAACAGCATTTATCATGTGTCTGCTCTTTGCTCATTGCTGGTGTGGGGGGGAGGGGAGTCCTTGTCCTCAAAGAATACTATAGAAGACCCCAAACTAATTCAGCCTTACATTTGAATGGCTCATATATTGTGCTAAGTAGAGCCAGTTAACAAGTGCAGAATATGTTCACTTGTTTTTATTCTGTCCCTCCTTCAGTGAAATGGAATTTACTTTTTAAGAAAGTAACAGATATTTTTATTTTTTTAAACTGTATGAATTTATGCTTTTTCTCATAGAACTCTTAGGTGCTTTTGTCCTCTATAACATCTGCTGCATGAGAGGACTAATGAAAGCAGATTCCACATTCAGGCTTTACTATGGAATGGTTAACTCATTAGTTTATTTGTTTTAGGGTATAGTGGTCAGGTCACCAGGCTCAGAGAGAAGAACCCCAGGTGGGCTGTAGATTGCAGATATGTTACTAGCGGTACCTCTCCATAGCAGCTGTCCTCCATGGCATGTGCTTAGGATGCTGGTATGTTGAAGAGCATACCAGCTAAGAGTGCAAATTTGTGGTTACTATTGAAAAAAGAAATGAGTTTGATCTACACAGAAGAAAAGTAGTAACTTTATTTCATATGGTCTCTCTCTGTACTCCTTTATGCTGTTGAGGGGCGAATATACTATAACAAATTTAGCAACATTATGGAAATATTCTAGAAAGTTAATCTTTAAACATTATTTTCTAGAAGAATGTAATGATTAATAAAGCAAAATTTAAAAACATCTATGTTCATTCTAAGATTTTAGTGGTGGTAGAATGAGGAGAGGAAAGCAATCTGCACATGCACATTTAGACTTTCATCATAGTAACAAATCAAAGAGCAAGGTATTTTGACATTTGTAATTCCTTAGTAGTGGAGGTGCTAGTGGAAGAACTTGACCTGGTGAGATAGCTGAATGATTCCCTATGTTTGTTTTTAGTTGGTAATTCCATTAACTACTCAAGATGACTTGGACAAAGCTGTGGAACTGCTGGATCGTAGTATTCATATGAAGAGCCTCAAGATATTACTTGTAATAAATGGAAGTACACAGGTATGACTTGGGATATTTTTTTCAGTAAGAATTATAGGACTTATGCTTATAAAAGTTAATATATGAAGCATAGTTATATTCTGTAACCATTATAATATTTTCATTATGATTAAATGTAAACTTTCATCCTTTACTTACTATACTTTAATATCCTTGCTCCTCAAAACCGCATAGTCATAGTTATAAATAAGTATAATATATTGTACATATGAAGCTAATAGAAGCTGGCAACTTAGAAAGAATTATGTTAGAATTAAAATTTGAGAGAGAGAGGATTTGATTAAGGCCCACAAACAATATAAAATAGTTCGTACTTGGTAAGGGAGAGGATTCTTTTTAAAGCCCCAGGGAGGAAGAATAACGTTAATTGTCTTTTCTCCTTCGTAGGCTACTAATTTAGAGCCATTGCCATCACTAGAAGATTTGGACAATACTGTGTCAGTAGCAGAGAGGAAAAAACGGCTTTCTATAATAGGTAAGAAAGAAAACTAGTGTCTGAATTACGAAATGAGTGAGTTCTCAGTTTCTTCTCTATCCTTTGATGTAGTGCAGCACCTAAACATATTTGTGATAAATAATATTCTTTTTCTATACTTCCTGTAATTTATGTAAATTAAATACATTCTAGTATTTGATGTCCCTTGGATATTCAAGTTTACAGGGTTAGTAATGTCCGGTTTAAATTCTTTGTTACATGCTTAGGGTATTTTAATGTTAACAAATTCAAATAAAACTTTAAATAGGTTGTAGGCTGGGTGAGGTGGCTCACGCCTGTAATCCCAGCACTTTAGAAGGCCAAGGCAGGTGGATCACAAGGTCAAGAGATCGAGACCATCATGGTCAACATGGTGAAACCCCAACTCTATTAAAAATACAAACATTGGGCCGGGCGCGGTGGCTCAAGCCTGTAATCCCAGCACTTTGGGAGGCCGAGGCGGGTGGATCACGAGGTCAAGAGATCGAGACCATCCTGGTCAATATGGTGAAACCCCGTCTCTACTAAAACTACAAAAAATTAGCTGGGCATGGTGGCGCGTGCCTGTAGTCCCAGCTACTCAGGAGGCTGAGGCAGGAGAATTGCTTGAACCCAGGAGGTGGAGGTTGCGGTGAGCCGAGATCGCGCCATTGCACTCCAGCCTGGGTAACAAGCGTAACTCCGTCTCCAAAAAAAAAAAAAAAATACAAACATTAGCTGGGTGTGGTGACGTGCCTGTAGTCCCAGCTACTTGGGAGGCTGAGGCAGGAACCCAGGAAAATGGCTTGAACCCAGGAAAATGGCTTGAACCCAGGAGGCGGAGGTTGCAGTGAGTGGAGATAACTCCACTGCACTCCAGCCTGGCAGCAGAGCAAGACTCCATCTCAAAAAAAAAAAAAAAGAGGTTTTAATTGTACAAATAGAATGGAGGAAAAAAATTAAAAGAACAAATTATAATATATTAAAATTAATAGACTAGATTATAAATTCACAAGCCTTTCTCTAGGGTTTTAGTGATTGCTAAGAATGCTGTCAAAATAAAGATACTAAGGAGTTTTATATTATGCTTTATTATTTATTAGTATTCATTTTCATTTGCCATTAATATATTATTATAATTAAGCTTATGATATAAAGAAATAAGGATCCTACATGCTGTTTTTTAAGGAGGCTTTATTCATGCACCATGAGATGGGCACAGGTACTCTAAACTCTCCAGTTCTCTTGTGTTCTTCAGTTTGTATGAAACATTAATAATCTACATTTTTATTTGATAAAAGCATTACATTATTTCAAAAAAACACTGGTATAAATGTTCTTACATAGAGGGCAGTGAGTATGGCCATTAAAGATAGTGTGAAAACATGTATGGGGGCGGATTTAAAAGAGAAAAGTATAAGAGGAGGAGCAACAGGAGGAATAGGAGGAAGCAGGAGAGTGGGTCTAATGTGGTTGGGAATCTAAAAAAGACTAGTAACGGAAGAGGATTGTTGATAATGAAAGAAAAACTTGAATTGGCATGTGAACCACAAAAAAAAATACACATTATTCATGTTTTCTTTTGGTTCCCAGAAGCAGCTATTTTATGACCATTCTCTTCTAAGTGTCTGTCTTACTTAAGTCCTACTTTGGGTTTCAGGAATGCAGAAATTCGAGCAGCAGAGATAATACACAAAATACAAATGGCTTGTCCTTTTCATTCAGATATATTTTGATATAATTTTAAAATTTAGTGAAAGAACATTTGAAATACCCAAATTCAAATTTCAGCTCTCTGATGAACCTGAGACCGGTAAATGTGTCTTCATCTTTAAATCATGGGATTGTTGTAGCAGTAAATTGAGAGAACACTTGTACATTTTACTTTATAAACTAGAAAGCATGAGTACTATTTGTTGTACGTTTCTTTCTTTATCCCCATGTCTTACTACATTATAGTACTTGTCATTTTAAAGAAAAAAAGTTACTAATTATTTTATTTCATTTTTTGAGACAGAGTCTCAGGCTGGAGTGCAGTGGCACTATCTTGGCTTCCTGCAACCTCTGCCTCCTGGGTTCAAGCGATTCTCCTGCCTCAGCCTCTCAAATAACTGAGATTATAGGCACCTGCCATCATGCTTGGCTAATTTTTGTATTTTTAGTAGAGATGGGGTTTCACCATGTTGGCCAGGCTAGTCTCGAATTCCTGACCTCAGGTGATCTGCCCACCTTGGCCTCCCAAAGTGCTGGGGTTTACTTTAGTTGCGTTCAACAGAACAAGCTAAATGCACTAGTTAAATTGATGTTTTAAATATATTTTAAATTAAAATTACATTGACTGTCTTATTCTAATAAATATTCTTGTTTGATGTCAGCTCCAACATAAGAAGAAATTGGAAATTGTTAAGTATAGAATTAGTGGTCTTTGGCTGAGTACTGTGGCTCACATCTGTAATCCCAGCACTTTGGGAGGCCAAGGTGGGTGGATCACAAGGTCAGGAGTTCGACCACCAGCCAGGCCAAGATGGTGAAACCCCATCTCTACTTAAAAAAAAAAAGAAAAAGAAACACACGCACACAAAAATTAGCTGAGCATGGTCGCATGTGCTTGTAGTCCCAGCTACTGGGGAGGCTGAGGCAGAAGAATCACCTGAGCCCAGGAGGTAGATGTTGCAATATGCTGAGATCGCACCGCTGCACTCCAGCCTGGGCAACAGAGTGAGACTCCGCCTCAAAAAAAAAAAAAAAAAAAAGTAGTCTTTTATTGGCACTGCTTTAAACTTCAAATGGCTTTGCTAGATATGACCATTATCTTTTTTTCTTATATGTTGGCAGCTATTCTCTTTGTTTTTGTAAAAGGGAGTTAGAGAAAATACTCCTTTAGGTTAGGAGAATATGCTGATAATCAGATCTCAACCATCACTGAGAAAAATGGGTTGTCAAGTAGGCAGATGAAATTTTCATAGCCTTTTTTTTTTTTTTTTTTTTTTTTAAACCCTGTCTCCTTTTAGTAATTGATTATATTGGTCTTCTTTTGTAAGCACAGGTATATGGAAGGAATAAAAATATTAGGAACCAAAATGATTATTGTGGCTATAGTTGTTATGAAGCCTATATCAATCCTGACACAAATTAAGCTCCTAATCATTTTACAGACAGGTGTAGACAGTACTCTCCTTTATGCACGTGTCTTGGTAATCATTTTGCTCTTTCTCCCTATCAAATGCTTGCATATACTCACAGTGACTCCTTTACATAAGGCTAAAACCTTTTTTTCTTTAAATTGGACCAGAATGTAGTTGCTCACTTTCCTATATCTGTTTTATAATTTAATTTGAAAAAACTATGAGGAAATGTAAGATACTGTACTAATAAATGTAGCATCATTTCCACAGAACCAAGTAAAATAAAGTGGGTTATTGTCTCATAAGAAATGTGATTACTTGAATAAACTATTTTAATGCCAGAAATCTATAGTGTACTGTCATCCCATCAGCAGTCAGAATACCATACTACCTATTGAGTATGAATTAATATTATGATAAGGTTAATAACTATGGAACGGTGCGAATTTACAAAGGGTATAAAACCATTTGAAGATTTACAGATGAATGTTCTGATAAGTGTTAATAAAAGTTGAATTTTTGTTTGCTAAAAAGGGTATAAAACCATTTGAAGATTTACAAATGAATGTTCTGATAAGTGTTAATAAAAGTTGAACTTTTGTTTGCTAAAATTATTGATATAATTCAGAAATATAGCCTATTTAAAACAAAATTTGATTTCCTTGCCTATAGTTATAAATTAAATTATTTTTCTTCCTTGAGGTCCTACTAGTAGAGATAGAAGTTCTCCTCCCCCAGGATACATTCCAGATGAATTACACCAGGTTGCCCGGAATGGGTCATTCACTAGTATCAACAGTGAAGGAGAGTTCATTCCAGAGAGCATGGACCAAGTAAGCAAAAGTTTGATTTTTTAAAATGTAATTTAAAGAGATGTTGTCAGGGTCAGTGTGATTGGTTGGTGACTGGGTGTGTGTGTGTGTATTATCTCTTCTGTAATCACGTATCTTCTTAACTGAACAAAATAGAAAAAATACCTGTTAATTTACATGTGCCTGTATAAAGAAAGCTGGAATACAGCTGGTTTTCTTATATTGCTCAATAAGTGAATGAATGACAGTGAGTGAATGATAATGCATTTGCTTTGTAATTCTGTGATTAACATCCAGATTTTTAAAAATATTTGAAAAAGAGTGAAACTACAAATATTTAACTTTGTGAAACTGAGGTTTGTGAACTTTCTGAAACATTTAAAAAATACTTCAGTTTTGTAGTATTAAAACGTTTTCATGGAGTTGCTGTTATTCCCTTAACATTGCACTGCATTATATGTTCACACTATTGTGATAGTTTACATTTTCTAATAATGTAACAATCATAGTGTCATTAGTTTCTGTTTGGGTGGGTCCATGTTCAGTTTTCAGTAAGCAAAATAATATGAAATATTTTAGCTTTTAATTATTTAGTCAATAGTCTATAGAGAAAGAATATTTTTTTCTTAGGAAATTTTGAAGTCGTGGCTTGCTTACAAGGGACATTTGAAAATGAGTAACTCTGGAGAGTGACCACTATTGATTATGGAATTGTTCTAAAATTGTGGTGAGTGAGGGTTGCACGGCTCTCAGTATTCTAAAAGCCTTGACTTGTATAGTTTAAATGGATGCATTTTATGTTACATGAAGTATGTCTCATTAAGGCAGGATTTTTTAGTAAGTAACTTTTGGTTATGTCAAACTGAATCATGGTAGAACTCCTTTTCTTCCTAGATGCTGGATCCATTATCTTTAAGCAGTCCTGAAAATTCTGGCTCAGGAAGTTGTCCATCACTTGATAGTCCTTTGGATGGGTAATGTTTATTGTAGTTTTGGGGGGTTTTGTTTGCTTATTTAAGACACAGTTTTGCTGTTACCCAGGCTGGAGCAAATGATGTGAACATGGTTTACTGCAGCCTTGACCTCCTGGGCTCGATCAGCCCGCCCACCTCCGACTCCCAAGGAGCTAGAACCACAGGCATTTGCTATTTATATCACATCTGGCTAAATTGTTTCTACTATTTGTGGAGATGGGGTCTCACTTTGTTACCTAGGCTGATCTTGGACTCCTGGGCTCAAGCAGACCTCCTGCCTTGGCCTCCTAAAGGGCTGGGATTACACATATGAGCCACTATGCTCAGCTTATTGTAGTTTTTCTTTTATAATAGATATAGGTAAATATTCATATAGATAGCATGTTGGATTATCAGTAACTTTTTTGTGCTACATTCAGAGAAATAGAATTGGTACTTGTGTATAATAATGGCAGATGATTTTTTGCATAGTGTGGATAAATCCCTTTACCTCATGGGACTCAGTGTCTTTGTTAATTAAAATGATATCTGATTATAATAGTTTGAATATTCCTGCTTGACAAAATTGCGTGTTTGAAGGCAAATCAAACTTAGAATTTATGCACATTTACATTTAAAACCATGTTCATGAAAATGCCATCAACTTTTACATTAATATGTTGGTTTTGGAGATTTCCTGAGTTATTTCAGGATTATGTTCATTCTGGCACCAGATTAGAAATAATTTAAATTCTTGGTAATTGTAGCCCACTGTGCCACATTGGTACATGTAGTCAAAAATTTAAGTACTTCTGTTATTTCAAAATCTAAGTACTTTTGTGAAGAAGCTGTTCAGGAATATGAGCAGGATGAAGTTGCAAAATGTGAAGTTTTTGTTACAAGTGCTCCCCCTCCTGGTCTCAGTAGGATAGTATTCTTGGTAGTCACCCTGTAGCACAGTCAGTTTAATCCTCTCTGGAATTGCTTTATGAAAGCAAATTCTGAAAAGATAACTTGAGGTAGTAGATAATACTAGGTAGACATATAGGAATTTCAGGGAAGTAGTAATGAGAAAGTGATATATTTGAGTACTCACCATTTGCAATTGTGGACACTTTACTAATATACACTTGATTAGTTGGAAATTATCTCCTTTTTGTTGATGCAGAAAGGTGATTTGCCAAGGTTACATAGTTAAGTGGCAGAGCTTGGACTGAAACACAGTGCTTAGGAACACCTGTGATTCCAAAATATTCTTCCACTGTACTGTAAAGTTAATTTTAAAAGCCAGGCTCTTTGCCTACATGTACCAAGTTAGTGTAGTTTCTCTTTTTCAGTTATGCTAACCTTTCAGAGTGAGCTCCTTTACACACACACATACAGAGAGGCACAGACAGATACAGATATCGCTTAAAAATTTTTTAAAAATGTCTTAACATACTTTCTCTAAACTTAATGTGACATTTTCTCTTTATAGAGAGAGCTATCCAAAATCACGAATGCCTAGGGCACAGAGCTACCCAGATAATCATCAGGAATTTTCAGGTTAGACTTTATAAGTTCTAAATGTTTAAATGTTTATGTGATTGGATAATGTTTTGGCTGAAAGGGAGAGGGGATATTTTTGAAAAGTCAAATAAAAATTTATAAATGTGCTTTTCATCATTAGAAATATTTAACTATTTTTTAAATAAAAGATAACCATCTTATATGTCTTAACAGACTATGATAACCCTATCTTTGAGAAATTTGGAAAAGGAGGAACATATCCAAGAAGGTATCATGTTTCATATCATCATCAAGAGTATAACGATGGTAAGTTTCTAGCAATTAGACCACAAGAATGGTTAAAAATCTCAACAATAAAAATAAATACAAAATTGTTTTAAAATCTCCTATCTGTGTAATACCATTAGAAAAATATGAGGAAATTGTGTTATAACAAAAGTATAATTGGCATTTTGGCTTTATGTCAACTTAAACTTGCCTATCCCTTAAAAGGAGTAAATTTTTGTTTTAAAAGGCAAGGTCTTTGTTGCCCAGGCTTGAGTTCTGTGGCATGATCATAGCTCACTAACTTCAAATTCCTGGACTCAAGTGATCTTCCTGCCTCAGCTTTCTGAGTTCAGGTGTGTGCCATTACAGGCATTTGCCATCACACCCAGCTAATTAAAAAAAATTTTTTGTAGAGACAGTGTCATGTTGTCCAGGCTGGTCTTGAAATGTTGGGCTCAAGCAGTCCTCCTGCATCAGCCTCTCAAAGTGCTGGAATTAGAGGTGTGAGCCACTGCACCTGGCCAAAAAGGTGTAATTTTCCTTTTTTTTTTTTCCTCGAGACAGAGTCTCACTCTATCACCCAGGCTGGAGTGCAGTGGCATCATCTCTGCTCACTGCAACCTCCACCTCTTGTGTTCAAGCGATTTTCGTGCCTCGGCCTCCCAAGTAGCTGGGATTACAGGTGCATGCCACCATGCCTGGCTAATTTTTTTTTTTTTTTTTTTTTTTTTGAGATGGAGTCTCGCTCTTTTTTCCAGGCCAGAGTGCAGTGGCACCAGAGTGCAGTGGGATTCTCTTGCTTTAGCCTCTCAAGTAGCTTGGATTACAGGCACCCGCCACCACACCTGGCTAATTTTTGTATTTTTAGTAGAGACAGGGTTTCACCATGTTGGCCAGGCTGGTCTCAAACTCCTGATCTTTGGTAATCCACCTGCTTTGGCCTCCCAGAGTGCTAGGATTACAGGCTTGAGTCACCATGCCAGGCCTAATTTTTGTATTTTTAGTAGAGATGGGGTTTCGCCATGTTGCTCAGGCTGGTCTCAAACTCGTAGGCTCAAGTGATCAGCCTGACGTGGCCTCCCAGAATGCTGGGATTATTAGGTATGAACCACTGCCCCTGTCCAAAAAGGAATAATTTTTAAATGATATTAGAAAATTACTCCTTGATGATGAGATTGACACATCATTCCTTTAAGAAAGGCCGTTACTGGCCAGATGTGGTGGCTCATGCCTGTAACCCCAACACTTTGAGAGACCGAGTGTTGGGTGGATCACCTGAGGTCAGGAGTTTGAGACCAGTGGGGCCAACATGCTAAAACTCCATTTGTACTAAAAATACAAAAAATTAGCCGGGTGTGGTGGCAGGTGCCTGTAATCCCAGCTACTCAGAAGGCTGAGGCAGGACAATCACTTGAACCCGGGAGGGTGGAGGTTGCAGTGAGCCAAGGTTGCACCACTGCACTTTAGCCTGGACAACAAGAGTGAAACTCCATCTCAAACAAAAATAAAAAAGTTACTACCTGTGAACTTTTGAATCTTTGTTTTAGATTTTAAAATCACTATTGGAAGTGAGAATAAATTTTTTTTCTCTATCCAGAAGTGAGGAGGTTCTTTTTTGATTTGTGTGTGTATGTATGTGTGTGCACACTCATATGTTTTATTGTAAGAGATTATTTGAATTCCTATTCAGATCCCAATTATTTTTTTTCCACCCAATCATTGCTATTTCATTTTCTTAGCCTAGTCACAGGACAAATTTCTATTCTCTACATTACACATTTTAAACACTTTAAAAGTATAACATATTAATAAAAGCTATAAGGTCATTCTCTTTTCATTTTGTAGGTCGTAAAACTTTTCCAAGAGCTAGAAGGACCCAGGGGACCAGCTTCCGGTCTCCTGTGAGCTTCAGTCCTACCGATCACTCCTTAAGCACTAGTAGTGGAAGCAGTATCTTTACCCCAGAATATGATGATAATCGAATAAGAAGGAGGGGAAGTGACATAGACAATCCTACTCTGACCGTAATGGACATCAGCCCACCCAGCCGTTGTAAGTTATAGAACATGGCATGGTGAAATGTAGAGCAGAACTTTTGTAGAATTTTATAATATTAAACGGAATAAATACTAAGTGAGTTTTTGGAGTCAGATGAACTACTCAAAAAATGTAATAATCGTGTTTCTAAAGGTGGTTGGAATGTCAGGTGTAAGCATGGTATCACTGCTGATTACTTTAGATAATTCTGTTCACTTTTATTGGCAAAATTATTACCAACTAGTCATTTTTTATCCATTCATTCTGCATATCCTTGTTGAGTGTCTACCACTGAGATTTCAAACATAACCTGTAAGACATAATCTAATGGGGTAGATGATATATGGAAAAATAATTAGCATTTAAATGTTAGTAGAAATCACCAGTTGAGGAGATAATGTGCAGGAGGCCATAACATAGTCTAAAAATGGGGAATTGTTCCATTTTGGGCTGATGTGGGGGTTATCTTACTTGAAATAGTGGGAACAGGAGTATAGTGGCAACTCAGGTTGGATTGCAAAGTGTTCAGACCTTATTGTGTAAGCAGTGCATGCAAAGATTCATGCTCAAAGATGTTTATTATAGTACTATTTGCCTATTCTGAATTCTTTTTTTTTGTGCTGTGTCATAATTTACTTTTATATCCATATTGACCCCGTGCTATGTTGTGTTGCTTTAGCTTTAGACAGGTATCTTTTGAAGTGATTAAAAAATAAGAGAAAATGTCTTTTATATATATCTTCAGTCTGTTCATTTTTATAGATCTTCGTATAGGTACAAAATCTGTATAAACAAAGACAGTTCCAAGATCTATTGGGTATCAAATTCTGTCTGCCTGAAAAACTACATTATAACCTTTCTTATACTATAGGTTTGCTGGTAATAAGTTCATTCAGCTTTTGTTTGTTTGGAAAAAGTCTTATTTCTCCTTCATTTTTGAGACAGGGTCTTACTCTGTCACCCAGGCAGTGGTGCAATCTCAGTTCATTGCAACCTCTGCCTCCTGGGCTCAAGTGATCCTCCCACCTCAGACTCCCAAGTAGCTGGCACTACAGGCATGCACCACCATGCCTAGCCAATTTTTGTATTTTTTGTAGAGACAAGGTTTTGCTGTATAGCCCAGGCTGGTCTTAAACTCCTGGGCTGAAGCCAGTCTACCCGCCTCAACCTCCCTAAGTGCTGGGATTACAGGTGTGAGCCACTGCACCTGGCCTTTCTTGCACTTTAAAGCGATTGTCTTACTTTCTTCTGGCTTATATACTTCCTGAAGAGAAATCTGCTGTAATTCTTACCTTTGTTCTCCACATGTAATATGCTTTCTTCTCCTGCAGCTGCCCCAGCTGCTTTCAAGATTTTGTCTTTGATTTTCTACAGTGTGAATATGATGTGTCTAGGTATATTTGTGTAGGGTTCCCAGCTGGTGTTCTTTCAGTTTATTTATAGTTTGTCTGTGAAAAGTTCTCAGTATTTTTTATAAAAGTTCCCCAAGTATTTTTTCTGTTCCATTCTTCTTTTCTCTTTTGGGATTCCTATTACCTGTACACTAGACTGTTTGATACTGTCTCATACCTCTGTTTTCTCTCTCTTTCTTCCCTCCCTATTGATCTGTTTTCAGGTTCACTGATTCTTTCCTCAGCCTTGTTGCATCTATTTATAATCCTTTTGAAGGAATTCTTAATTTCTGTCATTGTTTTTTATTTCATGCATTTTCATGTGATTGAATGTCTTTTCCATCTCTCTGTTCTCCATCTATCTGTTCATGCATATTGTCTACCTTTTCCATTAGAATCTTTAACATGTTAGTCATAGTTATTTTAAATTTCCTGTCTGAACCTCTTGAGTCTGGTTGTATTAATTGCTTTCTCTTTTGATTTTTTTTGGAGTGGTTACTTTTTTGTGTCTTACCATTTTACATTGAATGCCAGATACCATGTATATAGGATAAGGGAAGAGGTAAATAGAATGCATGCCTGCAAATAGGCACAGCTCTTCTTCTGCTAGGCTATTATTGTGAGAAGTTGAGTCAGTCTAGTCAGGAGTTGAGCTGGGTCTGGATTTTGTTGTTGCTGTGGTCTTTGTGCACCACTGACTTTTAAATTCTTCTTATTACCTTGTACTGGTTTTCTAAAGAGATTTTCTCAGTGGTCCTGCTCCATCAGCTTTTGGCCTTCCCTTTCTTTTCTTTTTTTGAGAGGGAGTTTTGCTCTTGTTGTCCAGGTTGGAGTGCATTGGTGCAATCTCAGCTCACTGCAACTTCCACCTCCCAGGTTCAAGAGATTCTCCTGCCTCAGCCTCCCAAGTAGCTAGGATTACAGGCGTCCACCACCACACTCAGCTAATTTTTTTTTTTTTTTTTTTTTTTTTTTGTATTTTTAGTAGAGATGGGATTTCACCACACTGGCCAGGCTGGTCTCGAACTCCTGACCTCAGGTGATCCGCCCGCCTCGGCCTCCCAAAGTGCTGAGATTACAGGCATGAGCCACTGTGCCTTGCCTTGGCCTTTTTTTTGTGTGCCTACTTTCAGAGAGAGAAGGTCTGTCTATGGCCTTGTCACCCTCTCAGTAGTAGATTGCTGCTACTTGCCAGCCTAGGATAGGGGAGGTAAAATAGAGGGTTCTGTGTTGTCTTGTCCAGCTTCAGTCTTAGGCAGGCTTTATCTCCTCAGTTCTCAGCAATGTGCTGTAATGGTCAGGGTCACAAAAGGTTTCCATTCTCTCTCTGAGGGGTAGGATTTTTTTTTTTTTTTTTCTTTTTCATTCCCCTAGCCTCAGTGGCTCTTTACCTGTACCCCTGTACCCCAGGGGTGACAGGGTTTGCTGCTTTCTCCAGCAGTGGAAGGCTCTGTTTCTTAGGGGAGAAGGGTTTGGAAGGGCTTTCTAACTTTGTCACAACAGTAGGCCATTCCCCTTCTCCAGGCATTGACCATCAAGGGAGGGCTTCCCTGGTGTCTCCTGCTCCTGTGAGTGCATGGTAGAGGTCCAGGGAAAAGATTTTGAGCAGGTGTGAACTCACCTGTGTCTGGATCTCCCAAAGGTTCAATACTCTTGTGCCAGTCCATATTTGTTTAAAATGGAGCTGAGTTCTTCCCTGTTTGTGTGGGTCTTTCTCCATGCTTTGCCATTAGTGAGCCAGTGCTGCTGTTCTGTCTCTCCTTGGAGGTACCAGTTTTTCCTTAGATTTCAGGTTAGTTGGTTGCCCTGCAATCTTAGTTTTTTGATACATGTTTTTAAAAAGTTGCAATTTTGTAGCTTGTCCAGAATTTCTCTTGTTGTTTGGATGGGAGTGAGGCTGTCTCCAGCTTTCCGCATTGTAGGTGGAGGCTAAAAAACTAAGTACAAATGTTACTGCAGTAAAGATTAGAAATTGTGTATCTTACACCATTTGGCATCTTAGATTTAGTAAAAGAAAGATGCTGTAAAGTGTGTAATTAGGAAAAAAGACAATTTCAGAAAAAAATGAGTCTTGGGGATATGAATCTTTTTCAGATTTAGAATTTGTAGAAAAATTGACTAAAGAGAAAAATTTAGAAAAATGATAACTATATGAATTTGGATAATCGTAATTTTCCCTTATATCCAAGCACATTCAATGAAGGATGTCACTAATGCAGTATGCTTATTTAGTTATTAACCATTTGCATGCCATTTGATATTTCACTTTAAGAAAGTGTTCTTTTTCAGCACCTCGTGCTCCAACCAACTGGAGACTGGGCAAACTGCTTGGCCAAGGAGCCTTTGGAAGGGTCTACCTCTGTTACGATGTTGATACAGGAAGAGAATTGGCTGTTAAGCAAGTTCAGTTTGATCCTGATAGTCCTGAGACCAGCAAGGTAAAAAAATCACTGCACAAAGTACTTTGTCATATTATAAGAAGCTTTATTTATTATTATTATTTTAACATTAAGCCCCTTCCGTTCTATATAAGAAGCATTTTTACTTAAAAAAAAGTTTTCTTTAGTATAAATTATTTGTAAAATAAACAGATTAGATATGTTTATCTACTTTTTAATATGGATTTTTCTGTATTAGTACTTCAGTTATAATCCTAATCTGATTCAGCGTTGCTTTAGCATACCATCAAGGACTGTTTAAAAGTTATTGGTTAGAGAGTGAGATGTTTGTTACTTGGGAACTAAAATTTTCAGAATGAAATTACCTTGATGGTCTATCAAGTTAGAAGTTTTTGCTTTTACTGACATTATTGAAGACCTAACAATGAATTCTGCCTTTCAGGAAGTAAATGCACTTGAGTGTGAAATTCAGTTGCTGAAAAACTTGCTACATGAGCGAATTGTTCAGTATTATGGCTGTTTGAGGGATCCCCAGGAAAAAACACTTTCCATATTTATGGAATATATGCCAGGGGTAAGTTAGTACATCTTTTTGAAAATACACATTCTATTTAAAATTTCAGTCAATAAAAGAAAAACTTAGATTATAAAATGTTAACCCTAGTTAAGGACATTTTGGAAGTGTTTTAAATTAGAGCTGGGTAGTATCTGTTATCTTCTTTATCTATCTTTGTATTATTTAATTCATTAATGCTAAAGTATTCTAAAGTAGGTTACAGACATCTTAGTGGTCCATCCTCAGAGTTCCTTAAATGCCCTAAAATGCACATTATAGATGATATAGTCACACCGAGTTCCAGTCTAGGGCCATATATTACATTTAATTTTTATGCACCTTAATTATCTCTCTCTTTTTAAACAATTTTTATAATTCTTTAAAAAGAGAGCAAGAGAGACAAGGTCTCACTCTGTTGCCTAGGCTGGTTTCAAATTCCTGACCCAAGTGATTCTTCTGCCTTGGCCTCCCAGAGTGCTAGGAATACTATCTAGAGCAGTCAGTTTGTATATGATACAGATTTGACAAAGCGAGTAGGATAGTCTGTTAAGAGTCTTCGCTCTCAGGATCTGGAAGAATTTGGAAAAAAAAAAAAAAAAAAAAAAGTCTCATGGATTCTCTAATTGCATTCTTGTGGATTTGGGTTTTGTTGTGTTTTTTTTGTTTGTTTTAAATTTTTTATTTTTTTAGTTATATGAAACGCTTCACAAATTTGCATGTCATCTTTCCTCCGGGGCCGTGCTAATCTTCTCTGTATCATTCTAATTTTAGTATATGTGCTGCTGAAATGAGCATGTGGATTTTAACTTGTTCCTTTATCCCTTTATTTACTATAAACTCCAAGTTAAAGTCTAAATTAGATTCATATTCAACCTTTTTTTGTTTGATACATCATAGATGAAGCTATGTACTTTATGTTGCATCCTATCAGGAGCCCAATTTCTGGTTATTCTACTGTAGCAGTGCAAAGACTGACCATTAGATGAGCATGATTGACAGATTGATGCCTGCATTGTAAAGTTTTGTTTTTTTCCTGCAGACCAGAAAGTAATATGAGGTATAGCAGTGGCACGTATCAATATCCAATTTCTTTTCAACCATCCACCTAATATTTTTAGCACTGATGGATAGTCATTACTAGAGTCTCTGATTTCATTAGGAGTTATAAAATGTGATTTGTGACATCTGTCATTCCGTATATTTTATTTTTTTAATACAGTACATCTAGTATTAATGATTTTCAAGGTGGTGCTTAATATGTTTACTCATTTAAAAATACATGCATTTCCATAATTTTTATTTTATTTATTTGTTTTTGAGACAGAGTTTTACTCTTGTTGCCCAGGCTGGAGTGCAGTGGCATGATCTCAGCTAACTGCAACCTTTGCCTCCTGGGTTCAAGCAGTTCTGCCTCAGCCTCCTGCGTAGCTGGGATTATAGGCGTACACCATCACACCCAGCTAATTTTTTTGTTTTTAGTAGAGACCATGTTGGCCAGGCTGGTCTCAAACTCCTGACCTCAGGTGATCCGCCCACCTCAGCCTCCCAAAGTGCTGGGATCACAAGCATGAGCCACTGCGCCTGGTCATAATTTTTATTTTTTGAGGTGGAGTCTCACTTTGTTGCCCAGGCTGGAATGCAGTGATGCGATCTCAGCTTAGTGCAACCTCAACCTCCCAAATTCAGTCGATTCTCCTGTCTTAGCCTCCTGAGTAGCTGGGATTACAGGCATCCACCACCGTGCCTGGCTAATTTTTATATTTTTAGTAGAGACGGGGTTTCACCATGTTGGCCAAAGTGGCCTCGAACTCCTGACCTTAGGTGATCCACCCATCTTGGCCCTCCAAAATGCTGGGATTACAGGCATAAGCTATTGCGCCCAGTCTGCATTTCCATAATTTAAAAGGTAGCATATGTTAGCAAAAGAAGTTTGATTTATGGGTCTTCATGGAGGTAGCTGATTAAAATTGTATGTAGAATGTACAAGGTTGCTATTCGAGCTTATGGATCAGTATAACAGTCTGTGAACCAATATCTGATAATAATGTTCTTGACCACCCTCAGTGTCCCACAGCAGTAAACTTGTTCCTTACTATTAAGAATAATTAATTGTTCATAGCAACACCATTGTCACTCATTGTTATCATTACTGCTTCCTTATTTCAAAAATTCTGTTGTCAATGTAAGTTAGTTTTAAAAAAAACCCTTTTGGGGAGATTTTAAAGACCATAAAAATATTGAAGCCTTTTGATTTGGTAATCTTACCGAAATTATTCTACAGAAGTCATCCAAAGGAAAGGAAAAAAAATCTGTACTCATTTTAATACTATAAAAATGTATCTGTGTTTGGACAAGGACAGAATAAACTTAGAAACTGAAACTGAAAATGTGTCTAAATGAGATTTTTGATAGATTTTTCTCTTATTCAGTCTTGTTCTTAGACTTTCCTGAGTCCCCAAGTTTGTGAGTGATGCTATCTGGACAATTTCATTAAATTTAGTTTGATGGATCCCTTTTATGCCCTAGATTCAAATTCTGTCAAAATTGTTGTTCATTTTTCTGTTTTCGCAAACTTACACTAGCATTCTATTCCTTACTTATCTGGAACTATTTAGACTTGAAATCATAGCTTTCTTTTATTTTCAGTTCCTGGACTAGCAGTTGGCTTTTCCCTGTTTCTCTTTTTCACACACACACACACACAAACACACACACACACACACATCTTTAGCTGGTACAGTGTTTCTCAGCTTATTTCACTTGTACACACTAAAGAAGTTAACATTTTTACACTGATGGAGCTATTAGCAGCCGTAGGCAACTGGCCCAGCTGTCCAGAGAATCCATAACTCTGTCACTCATTTGCAACCTAAAGGTATTATTTGGCCTATTTTTTTGGAAAGCTCAGATTTAGTGGAGTTATTCTGTATGTTGTTATTAATATTATTATTTTTTGAGTTGTAGTCTTGCTTTGTTGCCCAGGCTGGAGTGCAGTGACATGATCTCCGCTTGCTGCAACCTCCATCTCCCGAGTTCAAGCAGCTCTCCTACCTTAGCTGCCGGGATTACAGGTGTCTGCCATCATGCCTGGCTAATTTTTGTATTTTTAGTAGATATGGGGCTTCACCATGTTGGCCAGGCTGGTCTTGAACTCCTGACCTCAGATGATCTGCCTTCCTCAGCCTCCTAAAGTGCTGGGATTACAGGGGTGAGCTACCATGCCTGGCCTATTATGTACAGTACTACAAGTAGAGACACAGTAAGTACACTGAACAAACAAGCCACGCTGAACTGTAGGTGTGAGTAGTTGACTGGGAACACTTGCTGCTTTCCATATGTGTGTTTGCAAGTTTGGGTCCACAGAATTGCAAGATGTTCTCCCTCCAAAGATGGCTCATAAACAGTGGAAATGACAAATGGCTAAATCTGTAAAATCCAAGGATTTACTTTCATATGGCAAGAGTACACCATTTACCAAAATTCAAGGAAAGGCAGAAACATTTGGATGTATTTTCTTGTCAAAAAAGAGATCTGTCTCTTGGAAGCATTTTATTTCCATCTTTTAAAGGGATTATTAATCAAACTTGTACAGTGGAATCACTAGGGAAGCTTTTTCAAAATTCAGATACCTGTTTCTCACTTCAGATTGATTCACCTTTCTCAGAGATGGCATCTTATCCTGCCCTAAAAAACACGTGAGAAAATCTGAAGTTCTCCTTTTGTGTATGTTCCCATGTTTCGAACTCGAGTGTTGATTATATAAAGAAATAACTTTAAAATCTCATATGTGTTCTTTCCAGTTATACCCATTTCTTTTCCTGAGAAAATCAGCAGATGTCAGTAAAACACTGTAAAAACAGAATAAGAACAAAATAAATAAAATTCAAGTAGGATATGCATAGATGAGTGTGATGAGAATTCCTGCCCTCTTTACTGATAAAGATTTAATATCAGTTTTCATTTCAAACCATATACAATAGTTTTTGTTGTTTTCTTTTCTCCTAGGGTTCAATTAAGGACCAATTAAAAGCATATGGCGCTCTTACTGAGAATGTGACTAGGAAATACACCCGTCAGATTCTGGAGGGTGTCCATTATTTGCACAGTAATATGATTGTCCATAGAGATATCAAAGGTAAGTAATGAGGTGTTTTCTATTTTAAGTACACAGTTCTTTGTGAATGTGAATGAAGCAGGTGATATGGATAAGACATTTAACATTATTTTATCTGTCCCTGAAATACTACAGGGAAACAGTTCTCTTGCTTTCTTGTGGATTCTGTCAGTGTTCTATCACACCTGTCCTGAAGCAACAAATGGGTAGCTCCACTGTGGGGGCTCACAGAATCAGTAAAGTTTAAGAAACCGTACACGTGAGATCATGTTTTCATACATATTGCATAGGTGTAAGGATAGATTGGCTAAGAGTAGGGGCCCTGCTGCCAGATGGCCTGATTCCAGTTCAGGCATTATCCATACTGTGTGGCCTCGGACAAGTTACCCAATCCCACAGTTCCTCATTCTTAAGTGATAGAGAAAATAGTGTCCAGCTCATAGGATTCTTAAAAGGATTAAATGAGTTAGTGCATGTAGTATGCTTAAGATAGTGCCTGATACCTAGAAAGCCCTTAAAAGTTAGCTATAATGACATACTTTATCTTGAGATCAAATTTACTCAGGGGAATGGATATCACTACCTAGAGACAGCATGAAGAGAAGGGAAGAAAAGAGCCCCAAACTAAGCTTTGATGAACTCCAACTCCATGAAACTGACTTTCAAACTAAAAACTCAGCTGTTTTCAGGGGTAAAGGATGTAGGTAAATGAGTGAAGTCACACAAAAGCAACTGGTGGGGGTATGTACAATTTAAGAATGCTTAAAACTCTATACTGGAAACATACCTGGAGGTTTGATTCTGTAAAGGTAGGTTGTGACCCCAAATTTAGACATCACTTTATAAATCAATCAATAAAAATAATAAACAGCCAGCATGTTAGTGCATGCCCTGTAGTTCCAGCTACCTGAGAGGCTGAGGCAGGAGGATTGCTTGAACCCAGGAGTTCAAGTCCAGCCAGGGTACGGTAGCAAAACCCCGTCTGTTAATAAGTAAACAGTCATGTGCTACATAATGATGTTTCCATGTCATTATGGACCACATATACAACAGTGTCTATATTATATAGACTAGGTGTGTAGTAGGCAATACCATTTAGGTTTGTGTAAATACACTCTGTGATATTTGCACAATGACAAAATTGCCTAACAGTGCATTTTTCAGAATGCATTCCCATCATTAAGCAATGTATTGCTGTAAATATGTACGTGTACACATGTGTATTTGTGTGTATAAAGATAATATTCATTGGTCTTGCTGGGGACTCTCAGGAGCTCCCAGGCTTTCATTTCCTCTTTGAGGTGTGGCACATCCTAATTATGGCCATATTCAGACCAAGGAGAACATTCCTAACCAGTTCCTGGTGATGGAGTAGAATGCAGAATGCCTAACCAGATCACACATACTAGAATGGGACTTATCGTAAGTCTGAAAAGATGGGGACATTGCTCATGATCTGTTCGTCTTAGGCAGACCTCGGTTGTTAAGTACGAAACCTGATAGCTTAAAGAACCTCACAGAGAAGTTATTCAGTTAGGAATAATGTCCATTCAAGCCAGCTTCTCGTTAGCCCTCATAATGAGGCAAGGCAAAGGAGCTGAGGGAGCTACCCCCTGAGTGGATCTGCTTCAGGCTTTGCCAGAGTGATGAGCCATCCTGGTCAAATGAGAAGGTTGGAAGTAAGCTGATTTTAAAGCATAGGATAAAGATATTGATAAGAGAATAAATGTAAAATGTAAAATTGCATGTGCAATATGATCTTAAGTTTGTAAAATTCAAATATGACTTAGAAGGAAAATTTCCATGTGATGAATGATGGTTATCATCCAAGTGGCAGGATGAATGATGGGCATTTTCTTTTTTGTTTGTTTTTTTTTTGTTGTTTGTTTTGAGTTAGGGTCTCCCTCTGTCACCCATGTTAGAGTACAGTGGTGCTATCATGGCTCACTGAAGTTTTGACCTCTTGAGCTCAAGCAGTCCTCCCACCTCGGTCTCCAAGTAGCTGAGACTACAGGCACACACCACTATGCCCAGCCAATTTTTAAAAAGGTGTTTTTTTTTGTTTGTTTGTTTGTTTTTGGTAGAGGTGGGATATTGCTATGTTGTCTGGCTCCTATATACTTTTTCTGTATTTCTCAAATTTCCATGAGCAACTTTTAAATCATAAGAGAAAAGGAAGATGGTTGATTGGTTTTCAATTTAGACCCAAGACATCATAATGAAACTTAGGATGAAAATGAATTGATTATATTGCTAGACAACCAACTCACTATTTCAAAAACTAGTTGCTTTCTTCTGCCTTTGTTTTTATTTGTTTTACAAACAAGACCACTGAAGAATGGATGAAAGGAAACTTATCTTTATAGAAGTATTTTGGCTAACAAGTGAAGAAGGAATAATGAACTAATAGATATTAAACCTTAATAGCTGCTGATATCACTTAAATAGAAACTGTCTGGAATGCAACATCATCTATCTAGGTTTGTTCCTCAGTCCCCCAGAAATTGAACCTGAATCTGACAGAGTCCCCAGATTCAGCTACCAAATTATGTAATATACATATAGGACAGATAAGCATGTTAAAATGATTCTTTGGGATGCAGTCAGCAAAATCTAGACCATGAGAAAGTCATAGGCAAACAACTTAGTTTCTTCATAAGTTGCAAAGAAAAAGAAAAGGAGATTGGAGGGAACTTTAGGAAAGACTTAAAAGATGTATCAATATGTATGGACTTTATTTGGATTCTGATTTTTTTAATGTAACAAATTGAACAGCCATATATTTGATAATATTAAGAAGTTATTGTTCATCCTCTTGGTTGTGATAAGAGTCCTTATCTTTGAAAGATACATACTGAGCCATTTCTTGATCATTACATCTTGAATATGCTTCAAATCCTAGAGAGGGGAGAGGGAGTGGTTGGCAGTATGGCTGGCGCAGGATCGTCCAGATGGATGTTGAGTCTGGGTGATGGCTGAGCATGCTGCTTTCCCTTTGTGTGTGTCTGAAAATTCTCCTTAATAACTTATTTTTAATATGTCCAAAATAAGTTTTTAAAAACTGTGTTGGAGCCTGGCTACCCATTTTCTCCTTACCCCTTTTTGTGAATGAGCATTGGTTCAACATTGGTGATTCCTCCCCAGAGACAGCTTCCCCTGTCTGTGACCTGCCTTGAACTGTTCCTCCCCAATCAGAGCCTTTCTTGTAACCAGTAAAAAACTGACTTTGTTGTCCTTCCAGTGGTCAAGTATTCTAGAGATGGTGGCTTTTTTGACAGCCCTTCTTAAAGTATTGGATGGTGATGGTAGGAGATGTTAGACAGTGCTCTTTTAGAAGATCATTAATGTCATGGCATGTTTATGCTTAAAGTGTGCAGAGAATGGATTCCTGGACTCTCCCCTGGAGAGAGGCTTTGGGGAATCATCATTGACTAGACTAGGGAATTTGCTGGGAGAACAGAAAGACAGGTACAGAAGCTCCATGATAGGGATGGGGTCTCTTTATCCTCTCCAGTCTGTAATGTAGCTTTTCTCCACTATTCACTCTTCTTCTTAGAGACCATTTTTTAAGAAAAGGGTAAGAGAACCAGGAAAAATGAGTCTGTTTGTAATATAAAATATGGTTAAGGTTATGGAAGACTTAAAAATAAGAATTGAAATAAAATTTAAAAATTAGATAATAAATGGCTTATTTAAGGATAGGTTAAAAAAAAAAAAGTTTAAAATGAGAAGGTCCAAAGTAACGAGGGTTATGTGGGAAAAATGAGAAGAGAAATGATTATAAAAGAAACTGGATTTATAATCCCAGAAAAATTACTGAATTTCTGATAAGAGGGAAAATAGAGAATAAAAAACAAATGAGCCTAGTGCCCATATCTTGGTTTTTTGTTTTGTTTTGTTTTGTTTTGTTTTGTTTGTTTCTGTTTTTTTTGGGACAGGGTCTCACTTTGTCACCCATGCTGGAATGCAGTGGCATGATCTCAGTTCACTGCACCCTCAACCCTCTGGGCCCAAGCAATCCTCCCACCTTAGCCCCCCAAGTAGCTGGGACTACAGGCACACGCTACCACGCCCGGCTAATTTTTTTTTTGAGACAGAGTTTGGCTCTTGTTACCCAGGCTGGAGTGCCTATAATCCCAAAGTGCTGGGATTATAGGCATGAGCCACCGTGCCCAGACCGGCTAATTTTTTTTAATTGTTTTGTAGAGATGGGGTTTCATCACATTGCTTACACTGGTCTTGAATTCCTGAGCTCAAGCGATTCACCTGCCTTTGCCTCCCAAAGTGCTAGGATTACAGGTGTGTGCCACTGCACCTGGCCAATATCTTGGTTTTTTTATGCCATTCTCCACTAAAAGGAACCAGGCCTCCTTTGGAGAAATGGCTGATTTTAGGACTGGTATAAGAAATATACAAGATGAGTCTGGAGCATCTTGGAGTGCTCAAAAACAAAAGCAAGAATACAATGATGGGGATATGGCAAAGGGACACAGAAGCCAGTGGAAAAAATTCAAGTGGCTGAAGCTGATACATAGCCCGAGAATAAAGTAGTACTGAATTATAACCTAGCATATAAAACAGATATCCATGTGTTCATAGTGATGAAAATGAATGATTTAATAAATACATGGAAGAGGGGAGACAAATCTCTTCTGCAGAATAACTCCAAATTATGTAGCTACTCAGCCTGGAGCATAACTCTTGACTCCTTTCCTTAATTGTGGGCTGTGTGTAGTTAATTTCTTTCAAAGTGTAGGGCATGGAAAGGGTGGGGGAGAATGACTTTACAGTGGAGAACCTGACAAACACTATCTCAAGCCAGGTGTTCAAGGTCAGCATCAACAATGATGTTGACAGTATGTGCCTTTAATATCCTATGATGAGAATGGCAGTTTACCTGTGGTCTTGCCCCAGAAAACTTACAACCCCTGTTATGAGAACATGAGACAAATCCTAATTCAGGGACATTCTACAAAAACCGAATGCTAGTACTCCTCAGATATGTCGTCATCATCAAAAACAAGGGAAGTCTGAGAAAGTGTCCCACTTAAGAGGAGCCTGAGGGAACAGGATGACTAAATATGGTGTGGGATCCTAGTTGGGATCCTGGAACAGAAAAAGGATATTAGGGGAAAACTGAGGAAATCTAAGCAAAGTATGAACTTCAGTTAATAATATTTCAGTATTGGTTTATTAATTGTGGCAAATGTACCACACTATTAGTAACAGAAACTGGGTGTGGGGTATATGGGAACTCTCTATACTGTCTTTGCAGTAATTCTGTAAATCTGAAGCTATGTAAAAAGTTTATTACAAAAGCTAATGAAATTTTAAATGAAAAGCTCAAAGCTTGCCTATCAGACATTTTAAAAATATTAGAAAGTGAGAAGTAAAGTTAATATAAAGCAAGATTCAATATTAAGAAAACTCTATAAGGTAAGTAATTTTTAAGTAATAGAGGGGAAAAATCCTTTGATTATGAAAGTCCCTAAGGAAGTTTCTGAGGAAAGGTTGGCTTCTCAGGGAAATAAGCTTTAGCCATGGGCTTCTTGCTTTGTGACAGAGAAACGGGGGGGCTTTCTTGGTCCTTCACTGAGTTTCATTCTTAGCCCTTTTCCCCTTTCTCCTTCACCTCCAACCTGTACCAGTCCTTTTCAATAGCAGCTTTCTAGGTCTTGAATAAGTATTCTTGCAGCAAATCCTTAATGAGTACCACCTGTATGACTAGCGTTATGCCAGCTACTGCCAGAAAAGATGAAAAGCAGCCTTACTTTGGGGACAAATCAAGAGTCTATGAACTAATTCTCTGACATTGTTCTTTTATATTATATTCCAGACTGACAAAACTATTGAAATGAGATGATTTCTTATTTTTAGGCGCAAATATTCTGCGAGATTCAACAGGCAACGTCAAACTAGGAGATTTTGGGGCCAGCAAACGGCTTCAGACCATCTGTCTCTCAGGGACAGGAATGAAGTCTGTCACGGGCACACCATACTGGATGAGCCCTGAAGTAATCAGTGGAGAAGGCTATGGAAGAAAAGCAGATATCTGGTAGGTTTTGATGTGAAGTTTGCTTGAAAACCACCTGCAGCCTTATGTATTTCCACCTGGGATTGAATTTACTGAGGCAGATGTAAATGATCTTTTGTACTTTCAAAATAGGCTATAAGAATTGCAAAGATTATATTAATTATGCCTTACTAAGGCTTATAGTTGACTAAATATGGCCACACTCCGTGGCTCATGCCTATTACCCCAGCACTTTGGGAAGCCTAGGCGGGAGGATCACCAGAGTTGAGGAGTTGGAGACAAGCCTGGCCAACAAGGCGAAACCTCGCTTCTACTAAAAATACAAAAAATATTTGTAATGCCATCTACTTGGGAGGCTGAGGCAGGAGAATCACTTGAACCTGGGAGGTGGAGGTTGCAGTGAGCTGAGACTGCACCATTGCACTCCAGCCTGGGTGACAGAGCAAAACTCTGTCTCAAAATAAATAAAAATAAATAAATTTACTAAATATTTAGAATCCTTGAACCTGTCTTCCATTCTTTAGGAAGGATTTTGTCTTAAGCAGACCTCAGCATTAAAAAGCTTTTTGCTATTACAGAAGTAAATGAACAGTTATTTTGTCTAAAAAATTTTAAAAGTATTTCATCTTTGTTGTGTCTTATAATTCATTTTTAATTCTTCTATAATTTTAAGTTAGAACATGAAATGATTATTTTCTACTTCCCACCCAGAAAAGAATTAAATAAATGTTCATTTTAGGCACCTGAAGGCATTTGATTTCTAATGCTTATATTCTTTGTAAGATAAAGATAAAAATTATTTTTAGTGTCAGGCTAGAAATTATATAAAACAAAAATAATAAGATGAATAATGTTCTTTGCCCAACTGTTTGAATTGATAGTCATTAAATTGTTATTTATTTTAATTGATTTTTATGTTTAAATTAGTTTTATGAAATTAGACCTTTTTAATGAAGCTTTGAATTTGAAATTAAGTCATATTTAAATGTATATGGACTTAATGCCTGTTTCTCATTTTCTAGCTAACTAGCTTTCTCTCATGTTGTTGTTTGTGTAATGTATTTCTTTTTGTTTCTTTTCAGGAGTGTTGCATGTACTGTGGTAGAAATGCTAACTGAAAAGCCTCCTTGGGCTGAATTTGAAGCAATGGCTGCCATCTTTAAAATCGCCACTCAGCCAACAAACCCAAAGCTGCCACCTCATGTCTCAGACTATACTCGAGATTTCCTCAAACGGATTTTTGTAGAGGCCAAACTGAGACCTTCAGCTGATGAACTCTTAAGGCACATGTTTGTGCATTATCACTAGCAGCCAGTAACCTCTCCTGTGCCTCTACCTAGCTCCCATCTATTCATTCACCTTCTCTCTGACTGCACTTTTCTTTTTTATAAAAAAAGAGAGATGGGGGAGAAAAAAAGACAAGAGGGAAAGTATTTCTCTTGATTCTTGGTTAAATTTGTTTAATAATAATAACCTAAATTTTTTATATTTAGTCTTTTTTCCCTTACAAGAACTTGAAACTTTTTTTTTAATTTTTATAATGTACTGATGTGGTTCAGAGAGATAAAGCACTTTAGTACATAGTCACTCTTTCTAGTACACAAACAAATCATTTGGAATACCTAAAGATTGTAGAGTCTTTTCCTCTATCACTGACATTATTAGTGGTGATGAGAAGACATGGAAAACAAGGAGAAGAAAATGATGTATAATTTGTAGTTTTTAGTGATAGTATTTAAACTATATCCTCATTTATGGGGTTGAGCCCTAAACTTTAGGGTAGGTACTCAACTTAAAGAATATAGGTTTCTTCTTGTATCTGTATTCTTTAGATCCTAACCTCTGTCTACCAAGCTTTTTGCTCAGTAGGAGTCTTGATAGAAGATACAAATCTCTAAGAGGTATGTTTATTTGTTAATCCTAACCAGTATAATAAGCAAATACACTATAATAGATCCATGTTACTGGAATCTGTAAACCTTGAGGGATAGCTTTCTGCTTTAAAACACACACACACACACACACACACACACACACACACACACACACACACACACACACAGCTTTTTTATTTTAAAGTCAAGTCATGAGCAAATCCAAATAAAAGACAAAAGGATATTGTTCTTATTAAATGCGTGAGCAGTAGAAGAGACACATTAGCCAGTCAATAGAAATTAAAAAAAAAAAAAAAAAAAAAAAAAAAAAA